GGACGACGAGCACAGAGGCGGGGTGGGCAGAGCGGAGCGGAGCGGAGGCGCAGGGGTCGGGCAGGCGGGCGTGCCCGTGCCCTTTTCGGGGCAGGGCGCGCGAGGCCGTGGCCTCGTGTCGTGCGCCAGCAGGGAAAAAGAAAAAGGGGGCCAGTGCTCCGGGAAGCAGGGCAGGGGAAAGGCAAGCGAGGGCATGCGTGTGAACCGGGAGAAGACGAGGGCGTGGCTGAGGTGCTCACGGGTCCCGAGGTGGTGCGGTCGGCGTCCTGGCTGTGGCCGTTGATGGTCGCTGGTTGCTGGTGCTTTATACGCTGGTGGACCACGTCGTGTCCGTCGCGGCCGTCAACGTGCTTGCATCGTTACTGTCGTAATTGAGGCATCGTCGTGGATGGAGTGCATCGTTTGTATCGCTGCTCGTGGCTTCGATTCTGGCGACCGTATGCAAGCCTTGCAAGAACTTTCGTGTGTCGCTTCCTTTGGACTCCATCCTGACTGCGACACTGTTGCTTCGCGTCGAGACTGGCGTTGCAGTGCAGCGCTCGGTGCGTCCATCGGCTCTGTGGGTTGCCAGCGGCGGTCGCTGCCCAGCGCCAAACCTTTGTTCGATGCACATGCTTGGGGCACCCTGAGAGGCATTCCGTCGTGGAGGGCGGAGCGGGCAGGGAGCAGGGAGAAGGAGAAGGAGGAGGAGGAGGAGGAGGAGGAGGAGGAGGAGGAGGAGGGAGGCCTCCCAGATAGGGTTCGAGCAGATGAGGTCGGAGGATCGCGCCGCATCGCCGATGCATCGGTGACGTCGGCATGGAGAGAATCGCCCTCCACATCGCGCCGCATCGGCGATGCATCGGCAATGCGCTGCGATTCGCTGGCCGCATCTACTCAGACCACTCAGACCCAATTTGGGATGCCTAGGAAGGAAAAAAGGGGGGAATGAGCGAGGTCCTGCTTAAGACCGCTGGGCGACTGGGCACTCTGGCCAAGCACTCTGCAGCAACTGCTCACGGGGGGCCAGTGCCGCGCTCTGGAGGCTTTGCGCTGGCATCCATCGACAGAGCTTCGGGACACGCTGTCCCTGGGGGGAAGGGGGATCAGAGAGGAGGGAGGGCGGGGAGGGAGGAGCAGGACACGAGCAGGGCGGAGCGAGAGGAGGAAGGAGAAGTGGTGTGCGAGTAGGGGATGGCGGAAGGGTGCTGACGCCTCGACGCCCTCTGGGCTGCGGGCCGCCGGCGAGAGGCGGTGGGCGCTGCAGACGCGCAGGAGCCGGAGGAGAACGCGAGGAGGAAGGCGAGGACGAGGAGGACGAGGATGAGTGGCGCTCTGCCCCGGGGAGCTCTGGGATCTGGGAGGCTCAGCTGCCCCGGTAAGCAACGACGCGGCCCTGAGCGCGATAGCAAAGAGCTGAACGCGCAATTCTATGGAAACCGTGTGGGGCGATAAATACACTCACCTGACAACGTGGGCAAACACGTTGAGCCACCACGCAACGTGCTTAACCAGGACGTCCGAACGCGGAACGTGCTGCGTTCCAGCACGAGCGTATCAGGGCGTTTGAGCCGAGAGGTCGTCCCGCCAAGGAAAGCGGCATCAGCAGAAACTTTCGAGGTCGTGCAGATTTCTTGGGTCGGCGCTGGATCCTCCGTCCACCCATTCCTTCCCACTCCGCTGGGTTACTTTCATTCCGCGAGCTGGGGTGTCCCAGATGACCTTGACATTCAAAATGGCTCCATCATGTGATGCGCAATCGGGAAGGAGGGAGACTATTGGACGAGAAGGGGAGGGGGTGGCGGATGAGCGGGAGGATGAGCAGGAGAAAGGGCAGGTTGATTAGGAAGGAGTTGGTGAAACAGCAGGACGATGAGCAGGGTGTGTGTTGTGTGTTGTGTGTGTGTGTGTGTGTTGTGTGTTGTGTGTTGTGTATCTGTGTGTCTGTGTGTCTGTGTGTGGTGTGTGTGTGTGTGAATGTGTGTGAATGTGGAGAAGGGAATAAGGGGAGGGAGCAACGACGATGAACGACTGGGATCCATGTGGCCCGCACGGGGTTGAGAGCATCAGTCGAATCGAGGGTGGCAACGCACCGATCCTGAAACGCGGCCTCGATGCAGCGGGGACGCGCATTGGTTTAGGGCCGAGCCCGTCCCGATTGACTTGCGCAGGGGAGGGAAGCACAACCATGAACACACAACACAGGGAGGGGAGGCGCCCCCGCACAGCACGCGCTACCAGGGGAGGGAGGAAATGGGAGAAGCAGCTCTCGTACAGCGTGTATAAGTTTTGACAGGGCAGGATGGAGGACCAGGGGAACGAGAAGGATGACGATCAGGAGAAGGGGGAGACCGATGAGGAGAGGCAGAATGTGCAAGAGGACGAGGGCGGGGAGGACGACGTGTACGCTGAGGACGCGCCATCGTCCCCCCTTCTCCCCTATCCCTCTTGGCCCTCGCTCCTCCTCGCTCCTCCTCGCTCCTCCTCCCAGGGTGGCGCCTCCCTCGTGGTACCCTGACCCTCCTCCTCCTCCTCCTCCTCCTCCTCCTCTTCCTCCTCCTCCTCCTCCTCCTCTCCTCCTCCTCCTCCTCCTCCTCCTCCTCCTCCTCCTCCTCCTCCTCCTCCTCCTCCTCCCCCACGGCAAGGGCATCGGCGACGTCGGCGTGGAGAAAAGCGGGCTCTGCATCGAGCCGCATCGCCGAGCGCGATCCTCCAACCACATCTGCTCCGACCCCATCTGGGAGGCCTAGAAAGGGCCTCCCTCCTCGAGCCCGTCCTCCGAATGTGGTCAGGGCCGGCACAAAGAGAGGGAAAAGGAGGAGGAGGAGGAGGAGGAGGAGGAGGAGGAGGAAAAGGAGGAGGAGAAGGAAAAGGAGGAGGAGGAAGAGGAGGAAGAGGAAGGGGAGGCCCCCCCCTCCTCGAGCCCCTCCTCCGAATGCGCCCGGGGCCGGCACGAAGGCAGGGGGCCCCGAGGGAACCGAGCCCTGGGTCCTGCCGGCTCCCCCCTGGACAGTCTTCTCGCCCCGAGCCGCCCCCGGGCGGCCCCCGGGTGGCCCGCCAGCATCGCGGGGCCAAGGGCCACGCAAACACATACACACGAATCCGAGGAGCCCCCACATGTTCCAACCTCTCCTGGATGTCCGTCTTCCCCCCCCCCCACGTCCATTATCTTCCCATCTATTCTCGGGACTCGACGATTCTCAGATATAAATGTGTTTCCCATATGCTGCATGCTTTCCATCTGTGCCATGTGTTTTCAATGCTTTTTTTCCATGTTCTCCATGGGATTATCCCATAGCTTTCGCATACTTTCAATGTTTCATGTTCGCTATATAGATGGCGGTGCGAAATAGATGGCGGTGCGAGGGGGCCCGAGACGGACAAAGAGAGCTTGCAGGACACCCTTCGCCCGTGACCCATGGCCGGGGGGTCCCAAAACAGTGCGGTGACGGACCGTGCGGTGGCCTCGAACTCCCGAAGGACCTCACCGAGACATCCTCGGATAGCGACCTTCGGGGGCGCGCAAGCATGGATTAGCGTTCCATGGATTTGGCGCGCGGTCGCCAAATCCATGGATCGGGGGAGGTGCCCTCCCCAAAACGGGACTGGTGCCGCCTCGCTCGGCGGCGGAAATGGGCGATTTCCAATGAAAACGGGACCCGTCGCTACCCCTTGATCCATGTTTGCGATCGCCTAAGGATAGCGACCTGAGTCCCAACGCCATGCAGTGACCCCCAAATCCCCCGATGCGGCAAACCCGCGAACTTCTGCCGAACAACCTCCCGAGGAAATAAGAATAACACATCATTTAATTTTTGGCCGCGAACGAATCCGCGAACTTATGCCGAACAACTTCCCGAACAAATGAATAACAGATCTCTGAAAACTCCACCGCAAACAAACCCGCGAAGCTGTGCCGAACAACCTCCCGACCAAACAACAAACTCTCCACTTGCAATGATAAATCTGAAACCTTCAGAAACCCAACGAGGGGCAACAAATACGCGCGCTGCAGCCGATTCGCACGACAATTCAAGGATTGCTAAACACTTAACGCCGCTGAATACTAAGACTGCTCGCTCAAATACTGTTTCTGCCGTTTTCTTTTCGTAATGCTCGAGAGCAAGCCAAACAAAGAAGTATCTGAAACGAAGCCAAAAAACAGTTTCCTCAAAAACACTGTTGTTTGATGATTTGCTGCTTTACCGCTGCTAGACCAAAACTAAGTGAGATCTGGCCCTGCATCACGCAATATACTCACCACGAATACACGTGTGAATAAGACGGAAAACATCGCGCGACACCTCCCAAATCGCGTCTCTGACTTGAAGCGCCCGCGAACCTGGGAGCGAAACCCACGTATTGCGATAGACGGGGAAACAACACGAATCCGATAGAAAGCCCTCAGGGCTGCACCGAGGCGCACAAGCGAGATAAGAACGCAAGACGCTGCTGCACTATTCCAGAACATATTGATAATTAGCATGAAGTAATTATTGAGTGCCATCGTTGTGGTCTAATCTACTGCAAAAGTGGTTTATATGCTCCTCCGGAAGCGAGTGGGGGCCCTTCGAGCCACAGAAGGCCTCTTCGGGCGGCCCCAGAAGGCCTCTCCAGGGAGGCCCGGAGGTTTGTTCGGTAGAAGTCCGGAGGTTTGTTCGGTTCCTGTTCAGGGGATTGTTCGGTTCCTGTTCGGGGGTTTGTTCGGTTCCAGTTCGGGGGTTTGTTCGGTAGGAGTTCGGAAGTTGGTTCTGGAGTTCGAGGGTTTGCTGTAATTTCCCCCCGACATGGGGCAATGCGAAGGCGGGTCACCACCAGAGGGGTCACCACTTCCGCGAAGAAGCGCCCTGGGCCATTTCGTCGCCAGGGAAGCGGGACACAGAGCCCGCCAGAACGACCCCAAGCGCCAAAAAAAAACCCTCGGGCTCATCCTGGAGCCTCGCCTTCCAAGAGAGCAGCCGGTGGCCCCCTGGTGGTGACCCCCCCCCCGGGGCGCTGCTCGCTCCGCGGCTGGTGCTGGCCTGCTCCCACTCCTGGTGGATCTTGTCCAGGCCGGACCGGTAGAGACCATTCTTGTAGTACATGAAGTCCTCTGGGCGGCCACTGGCCGCGAGCGCCCCTGCTGCCCAACGGCAAACAACAATAATATTGTTTTGGGGGTGGGGGGACGAGAGGGAGGATAATCAAGCGGATTGATGAGGAGGAGGAAGAGGAGGAAGAGGAGGAACGTTACAGTCCATGCACCTAGAAATCGCAAACATACAATAAGGAGAAGGAGAAGGAGGAGGAGAAAGACGAGGACGAGGAGGAGAGGGACGAATAGGAGGAGGAGGAGTCGAGGATGATGAGAAGAGAGAGAAGGAGGAGGAGGAGCAGGAGGAGGAAGAGGAGGAGGAGAAGAGGAGGAGGAGGAGGAGGAGGAGGAGGAGGACGAGCAGGAGGAGGAAGGAGGAGGAGGAGGAGGAGGAGGAGGAGAAGGAAGAGTCGAGGGGGGGGAAACGGCGAGGGAGGAGGAGGAGGAGGACGACGACGAAGAGGAGAAGGACGAGGAGAAGGAGGAGGAAAGGAGGAGTCGAGAGGAGGGGGATTCGAGGAGGAGGAGAGGGAGGAGAGGAGGAGGAGGAGCAAAATATGGAGAAGACACAGAAGAGGGAGGATGAGGATGAAAGGGTCGATGGGGGAGATGGAGGAGGAGGATGAGGAGGAGGAGGAGGAGGAGAATTTTCAGGAGGTGGTGGAAGAGGAGGAGAGCAGCAGAAGGAGAACGAGGAGGACGAGGAGGAGGAGGGAGAAGGAGAGGAGGAGGGGAGGAAGGGGAGGATGGGCAGGAGCGGGAGCAGGCGGAGGAGGAGGGAGGAGAGAGGAGGAGGAGGAGGAGAGGAGGAGGAGGAGGAGGAGGAGGAGGAGGAGAAGGAGAGGAGGGGAGGAGGGGGAGGAGGAGGAGCAGGAGGAGGTGCAGGAGGAGGAGGAGGAGGAGGAGGAGGAGGAGAAGGGGGAGGAGGAGGAGGAGGACGGGGAGGAGGGGGAGGACGATGAGCAGGAGGAGGAGGAGGAGGAGGAGGAGAAGGAGGAGGAGGAGGTGGAGGAGAAGGAGTGGGGTGGAGGGAGGAGAAGAAAGGAGGAGCAGAAGCGGCAGAGCGACAGGAGTGGGAGCGGCTTTTGCTCTCACGGCGTCACCAGGCCCAGGGGCTAGAGACCCTGGAGGCTCAGGACTTTAATCAAGAGCCCAGAGATCGGTGCTGGACTTGGATCGATGCGCGGCTGCCTCCTGGGGATCGATGCGCGTCGCCAGAGCCCTTGTCGTCGAGGTCGTCATCGTCGTCGTCCTCCTCCTCGTCCTCGTTGCCTCCCTCGTCCTCGTCCTCGTCGTCGTCCTCGTCCTTGTCCTCGTCGTCGTCGTCGTCGTCGTCGTCGTGGTCGTTTTCGATTTTGTCGTCGTCGTCGTCGTCGTCGGCGCCGTCGGCGCTGTCGTCATCGCCGACGTCGCCGCCGCCGCGCCCTGCAGATACACGCCCTGGAGGCCGTCCGTAGTGGGCGTCAACCAGCCTCGACCTGATCCCTACCCCAAGATCGGCGAGCGCGAGGCGATGACAATCTTAGGCATGTGTCCCCCCAGCAACTGCGGGAATGCTCAAGACCGGCACCGAAGCACGGTGATGCCAGACACGGGGACAGGAACACGCTTCCAGCTGGTGAGGCGTCACTGGGGCTCGGAGCACGGCGCGCTGCGACCAGGGCGGCTCAACATCGCCCCCAGACTCCCCCCAGGGTCCAGACGCACACCCACTTCTCCAAGGTGCACACCGCAGTCGCAAATTGGAATCGGCGGGTCGAGGAGTATGATATTGACTCGTGAAAAAGTGCGTTCCAGAGACGTCTTCGGGACTCCATAAAGACAGATGCAGCCCAGGATCGGCGCTGGACACCCCCCCTCCCTGGCGCACTCCGCGCCAGGAGCGCCGCCATGGGGGGCCAGCACCGATCCGAGAAAGCTGCGCGGAATTTTGAACGCTGATGATTATGCAGCTTCCTGCTCGCGCTGAGATTTCACGCTCAGGCATTCACATTAGGGACATCTCAGGACCTTGAATGCACCCACGGCTGGTTCCGGAAACCCAGACTTCGACAGAGTTCTATCTCCTGGGGCTTCCGAAGGCCACCCGCTGGCGGAGTGGCCCTCGTTTCGCTTCTGCCGCCTTTCCACAGGCAATCCGCCGCAGCTTCCGAGGAAGAGACGCCAACTCCTCCATTCCTCGAACGCAACGCTCCTTCTGGAACGCCGCATCTTGGGACCCTCGCGCCCAACAACATGTTATCAGCTCCGCCCGCCCACGGCTAGTCTCGCCCCCGAGGTGGACCCCAACGACGGGGGCCCTGGATGGCCCTCGGGCCGACGGGACTGCGCCCTCATTCGAGCATGCCGAAAACTAGCGGCCAGCCCCGAAGGGAAGCGAGAGGGGGCAGGCCTTCTCAGAAGAGAGTGGGGTTTCTCGGAGACCATGGGTGGAATCACTTGGCCAATATTGCCGCGTAAGTGGTGCTAGAGGTGTGGGCGTGCGAGGTAGATGATAGGCCGAGGTGGTGCTGTGCTGACGTGCGTGGTGGTGCAACGTAGTGCTGCGAAACTCGAGGACGATGGGAGAACCAGGATCAACATGTAATTGGTGAAAACGCAATGTGAAGAGATGTACATGTGAAGGATGGTACAGAGGGAGTGTGGGAGGAGATGGATCGGGTTCGCGGGCTACCACTCTGTCGGCTGCCGCGCTGCCGGCCCTGTGTCCTCTGGGCCCGCGGCTGATCCCGTGCTCCTCCTCCTCTTCCTCCTCCTCCTCCAGTTCCTGCTCTTCCTCCTCCTCCTCCTCCTCCTCCTCCTCTTCATCCTCCTCCTCCTCCTACTCCTCCTCCTCCTCCTCCTCCTCCTCCTCCTCCTATGCTCGTCTTCAGCATCCTACTGGCCCCCCCCCCCGCCTCCTTCCTCCTCTTCCTTATCTTTGGAGTCCCGAAACGGTGCGGTGACAGACCGTGCGGTGACCTCGAAATCCCCCAAGGCCTCACCGCACGGTCCGTCACCGCACGGAGGCCCCTGTCGCCCGAGACGTCCTCGGAGAACGACCCGAGTCCCAAAACCGTGCGGTGACCCCAAATCCTCACCGACTCACAGCACGGTGTGGTCACCACCCCGTGTGGGGACCCCCGATTCTCATCCTCCCCATCGCCCCACTGGACGTGGCAGTAGGTCTGACTAGGCGTTTCGCTCGGGACTCGTTGACAACGTGTAGCCTTTGAGCTCAAGAGAACCACGTACTACTAAGTCGGGCGTCCCCCTACCGGCGGATTTGGGAGAGAAAATTAAAAATACTCCGAACATGCGTAACAATAGCCGAAACATACCCACAAAACGTCCCCCGACTATTTTTCGACTATTTTTGAATTCTCCTCCTGTAGAGGGACGTGCCCGATTTAAACGTACTACTGAAGGCTCGCGTCATGTCGACCCCGGCGTTGGTTCCTGACACCGCGGGGATCGTTCAAATTTAAACGATCGGCCGCTCATAGAACGCCAGATCGTTCAAGGATGGGCCGATTCTGGGCCGCAGGCGGCGTTCAACCTTGAACGCCCGCACTGGGGTCGCCGCCAGTCGACACGACGCGAACCTCCCGTATTGGGACTGCAAACCTGGGCCACACGCCATGGCGGCGCTTGGATGGAAACCGGCCGCGGACGTCTGAAATCCATGTTTGTGTGCCTTTCCCGCACCGCAGACTCGTCTCACTCTATCTCTCTCTCTCTCTCTCTCTCTCTCGCTGCCCCCCCCCATGGAAATCCTCCTTCGGCTCGAAAGACAGCACCAGGGGGCCATTCGTGACGAGCTCCTGCTTGATTTGCTCGTGGTCGCTGCCACCGTAGAAACCGCCCACGTATCGGTGGTTCACCGCGCGGTAGCGCCTTGGCCACGGAGGGCTAGGGAGCAGAGCAGAACAACCTGGCCCTCCCTTCTTCAAGGGGCCCAGGGACACGAATAGATAGACAAAAAGCCCAGGTCTCCCCATATGTTTCCACATTTTCTGGGTTTTCGTCCTCTCCCCCACTTCCCATGTTTCCCTGGGAGTCGTCGACAATTGGTGTGTCTGTGGTTTCTCCCCTCCTGAGTTCTGGAAGACATGGTCGCCGTCGTGCCAGGTACAGCCCTGGGACGACCGGAGAGCCAGGAGGCCCCCCCGGGAGCCCAAGACAGCCTCAAGACGGCCCAGGTAGCCCAGCAGCCCCCCCTCCCCTGGAGGCCCATCAAGAAATTCAAGACGGAGGAGGAGGAGGAGGAGGAGGAGGAGGAGGAGGAGGAGGAGGAGGAGGAGGAGGAGGAGGAGGAGGAGAGGATGAGGACGAGAGGTGTCCTATGTGGCGGCCGTCGGGTCGATGCTCGAGACGTCGCCAGAAGGAGTGCTGCGCGGGCATGTCTGCAGGACTTGCCGCAAGCGCAGCTGGCCAGGGAAGTCGTTGCCATCATGCTCGGTTAGGCCCCTGGCACCAGGGGCAGCAACACGAACCGCAGAAGATGGTTCAGACAGACGTGGATTGAGCCATTCTTGGCGGCGCGCAGAGGGGAATATGGGGAGGTGGCAAGGCTTCTGAGAAGGAAGCTGCTTCTTAGAAGGCCCAGGCCTTCTGTCTATAGACAAGGCCCGCGCCTTCTGAGAAGCAGGGGTGCTTCTAAGAAGCCTTCCCCCTCCCCCCTCCCCCCCTCTGCGCGTGGCCGCCATTCAGGAAACATCTCCACGAAGTTCCCCTGAACAAGGCTATGGCTGGCTGACCCCCGTTGGCATTGGCCCCCGTCTCTGGAGCCCCGGCCAGAGGCTATGGGAAAAAACTGCCGTGCTGGAGGAGGAGGAGGAGGAGGAGGAGGAGGGAGGGAGGGGAGGAGGAGGAGAGGAGGAGGAGGATGAGGAGGAGGAGGAGGGGAGGAGGAGGAGGAGGAGGAGGGGAGGAGGAGGAGGAGGAGGAAGGAGGAGGAGGAGGAGGAGGAGAGGAGGAGGAGGAGGAGAGGAGGAGGAGGAGGAGGAGAGAGGAGGAGGAGGAGGAGGAGGAGGAAGAGGAGGAGAGGAGGAGGAGGAGGAGGAAAAAACTGCCGGAGAGAGGAGGAGGAGGAGGAGGAGGAGGAGGAGAGGGAGGAGGAGGAGGAGGAGAGAGGAGGGAGGAGGGAGGAGGAGGAGGAGGGAGGAGGAGGAGGGAGGAGGAGCTCCCGGCGCGCGCCAGCTCGCCTCCGCGCTCCCGCTGGAGGCCGGCGGCGGGGGCCGGAGCCCCGTGCCGGGCCCCTCCTCTGCCCGGCGGTTGCCGCGGGCCGCGCGGCCGCCGCTCGCGGCGGTGCGAGAGGCTCCGTGGTGCCTCGCGTGCCGGGGCTGCCGTGGGCGCCTCTCCCTGGAGCCCACCCTTTGGGCAGGGCTGCCGTGGGTGCCTCCCTCGTGGTGCCTCGTGGTGCCAGGGCTGCCGTGGGCCTCGTGGTGCCTCGTGGTGCCTCCCTCGTGGGTGCCTCCCTCGTGGGTGCCTTGGGCAGGGCTGCCGTGGTGCCTCGTGTGCCAGGGCTGCCGTGGGCGCCACTCCCTGGGGAGCCCACCCCTGGGGGGCCACATGCGAACCCTACCCCTACCCCCCACGATTTCTGAGGGGGAGGGTGGGGTTCACTTCGTTCGGGAGGTCCCGAGCGAAGTGACCCCCCCCCCTCCCCCTCAGAAATGGTGGGGGGTAGGGGTAGGGTTCGCATGTGGCCCCCTAACCCTGCCCTGCTTCCGCGTCGAGTGTCAGCCCGATGCCAATCGCCGAGATCTGCAGGTGCCCGCCCAGAGAGGCATGTGGGCCTCTTCTGGGGGGCGGGGCTCCCTTCCGAGAGAGAAGAGGAGAGCTTCAGCACGAACTCACGCCATCCTGATCCCCAGCTCGCTGCGCTCGCTCCGCGTGGCGCAGGCATCATAGGCTGCGATCGAGCTCGAGACGGCGGGGCCCCGGTGGGGAAACCAAAAGGTACCGATACCGCTACTCCCCGGACCTCTCCTGGGGTGCGTGCGGACCAGGATGTCGAGGCGAGTCCAGCGGTAGCGACGAGGACCTCCCAGGAGGCCCAAAAAGGGGAGAACGAGGGAAGGGTAGAGGTATGGGTACCTTATCCGTTTCTGGCCCAGAAGCCCCCAGGGGGCCCCCGAAAAGGGCGCGGACGCAACGCAAAACCTCGAGCGCCTTCCTCCTCGATCCTCGCCTCGATGCCCCGCGGGCGACTCCCTGGACCACCGCCTCGGTGGGGAGCCCTGCGGAGCTGCCGGCCGAAAGCCGGCGCCCCTCTGCGCGGGCGGGGGGGGCTACGTGAGGTGATTGGCTCCTCGGCCCCACGAGGAGGAGGAGGAGGAGGAGGAGGAGGAGGAGGAGGAGGAGGAGGCCTTGCTGCGATGTTGGCGCCGTGATCCGTGGCCGAGAGCGGGCGCGGCAGGCGAGGCCTCTCCCCCGAAGGAGGCCCTGGCGGAGGTGCGGCCGTCGCCTCAGACGCGGCCCCAGCGGAGCATGGGTACATAATGATTTGGGGGGCGGATTTCGAAGCAGCAGCATCATCAGCCCTGGGGCCCTTCCTCGGCAGAGGATGAGATGAGATGAGAGGGAAAGGGGGCGCTGGGAGGGGGGGTGGGGGGCGATGAGAGGGGAACGGGGGGAGGAATGGGGAGGAGGCGGGAGCAGAAGAGAATGGGGATTTTTCTACTGCCCCACCTGCTCCCGAATCTTCCTCCGCCTCCTCGTGATCCTCTTCCGCCCCTCTTCCTTAGACTCCGCCACCGTGCCTTCGACATGTATTGGAGGCCTGGAAATTAGCACCAACACCAACACAAGGGGTTGCCTCCACAGGGGGAACGATCCTCGATTTCGGCGTGGGTGGTAATGTTTCGGTCACCTCGGCAGCCAGAATATCACCACCATCACCGAGGTCGGGATCTTCCCCCGTCGCTGGAGGTACGCCACCGATGTTGGTGTTGGTGTCAACCTCTGGGCCTGCGAGCAGCCCAGTGCCCCCAGGCCCATACAGGCGTGAGGTTCGATCGCAGGCCTAGAGGTTGACACCAACACCAATATCGGCGGTGTGCCTCCACCAAGGGAAGAAGATCCCGATCTCGGTGATGGTGGTAATATTCTGGCCTCCAAGGTGGCCGAAATATCGCCACCAACACCGAAATCTAGGATCAATTCCCCCCCTGTGGAGCCAAACACTTGTATTGGTGTTGGTGCCCATTTCCAGGCTTCCAATTCGATGCGATTGGTGGGACTGCATCACCACAGATGTTCCGGAATTCACGGGCGCCTACGGGCGCTCACGGCGCCTCCCTCGCGGCCCTCAGGAACGCCAGACCCCCCCAGAGCCGACGTCAGCCCCCCCCCCAACAGACCTCCAAGCATCGCTCGAAGCGGCATTGGAACGATCCGCTGTCTCAATGAGAAATGCTGGTGCTCTCTTGGGCTCCAATCGTAGCAAGAGCAGTCAGCACACATGTGTTTCTTTCCTTCTTTCAATGAGTCGAGCCTTCTCGCCTTTTCGGGCTCAAGAAAGTCTAAGACGCCATGGCAGGCCCCCGAGATCGCCCCCTCCCCCCCACCGATAGGGGGAACACGAACTGAATGTTCGGGCACTCCGCCCTAAGATAGTCACCAAGACCGCCTCCAGATCGCAAAGAAGCGCCCAAGAGGCACCTGGTAGCCCCAAAGAACCCCCAGGAGGCCCCCAAGAGGCCTTACAAAAAGGCGTCTGGTCAACGACCCGGCATGGATGCGCGATGGGCTGAAGGCCACTCCCCTTCGTGGTGCCACCAGACTTGTCGATTGGGCTGCCCAGAGATTTCGCCTGATACGCCCTCACAAGATTTGCCAGACCTTGAAATGCTGCCAATCACGCGTGTGAGAGCGGGTCGTGTTCTAAATGTGGCTCACCTCATCACCACGTACATTCGTTTTAAACGTTTCCAAAGGGCACAAAGACGGAGTCAGGTTCGGGTGAACAATCGCGATGCCGCTTGAAACTTGAGTGGGCCGAACAACTGTGCAACATTTTCACACAGACCGCGAACCCTCCGTATGTCAAGAGGGTGCGTCCCGTAGTGAAAACGCATGCCTGTAGAGAGTTCTGTGGCGGTGACGTGGGGCGGGCTGGTGTGTTGCAACGTATTATTCCGAATTCGTACTTACTCACATTCTGCCCAGCAGCCGGCCGATAGCCCTCCAATCTGGGACCGTCCGTCCTACGTTTGAAAACAAATATGACATCGGCGGCTTTCGTCCGAAGCGTGGACAGTTCGTCGTCCATGTTGCAAAATGCGTGGCCAAACTTGTACGGGGCGTACACCCCGAGCGAAACGCCGAGCCGTCGCTCACGCCTGTGCGCCGCGCTCCTTTTTCGAACAGAGTGGAGCAGCCGCTTGGGCGCGGCGTGCGTGCATTAGCCGCACGCAGCGCCTCGCCGACGCGCGAGCGGGCGAAACTGCAGCTCTCGCCTGGCGCCGCGCAGGCTTCGCCTGAGAGGACTTCGCATGAAAGGAGGCACTCCCGCCTCGAAGCGGCGCGTATTTTCCACTCGCCAGAGTTTGGGGGGCGCCCGCGCCAGTGGGCGAGATGTTGCCCTCACCCCGAAGCTCCTTGCGCCTTCTCGCTCGGGAGTGGCGCTCGACAAGCGGGCGCGGCGCATGGCCCGCTCGAAGAATCGCGCGCGCGCGCAGGCCTCGGCGGCAGCCGGTGCCGCGCGAGCGCGGGCGAAGTGCCAACCTCGCCCAAGCGCCGCGCAGCTTGTGGACCCCCCCCCTCCGTCGCCCCAGAAAAAAACACAGATCGCGTTCGCTGCCCCTGAACAAAAACTTCAAGCCCTCCACGCCTTCCAGGGAGAGTCCGCTCTTCTCCTTCCTCCCGCTCGGGATCTTGGCGGCCGATGTCC